GACGTGATTACTTCAACTCCATGTCAAAGGTGCATGGTATGAATCCAGGACATGAACATTATGCCTGCATGGTTGACTTACTTGGTCGTGCGGGTCAGCTTGAAGAAGCCAAGGACTTGATAGAATCAATGCCAATCAAACCTGATTCTTCGGTGTGGGGAGCTTTACTTGGCGCTTGTGCAAGTCATGGCAATCTTGAAATGGGTAGAGAAGTTGCAGAAAAGCTTTTTGAGTTGGAACCACACAATCCAGGCAACTACGTGCTACTCTGCAACATATATTCAAAACATGGAAGGTTGAAGGAAGCTGATGAAGTAAGAAGATTGATGGGTGTGAATGGAGTAAGAAAAGAAGCTGGATGTAGCTGGATTGATGTGAAGAACAAAACCCATATATTTAAAGTTGAGGACAGATCACATCCCAGATCAAATGAGATTTATCAAGTTTTGAGGAAGGTGGAAGAGTTGGTGAAGAAAAATGGATATGTAGCTGAAACCCAATATGCAGTGAATAGTGGAGAAGATTATAAAGAGAGGAGCTTGTGGAATCATAGTGAGAGACTAGCGCTTGCCTTTGGGATTCTGGCTCTTCCACCTGGAGCTCCAATAAGGATAATGAAGAATTTGAGGACTTGTGGTGATTGTCATACAGTCATGAAATTTGCTTCAAAGACTTTTGAAAGAGAGATTATTGTTAGGGATATTAATCGATTTCATCGGTTCACTAAGGGTCTGTGTTCTTGCAGAGATTATTGGTAACCCAATTTTTGTAAATTCATTAGCTAGTAGAGAGAGAGATATATATATATATATATATTATAAAATTGTGGCTGTGCCATTCAGAACGATTGAAACATAAGCCCAGCCCAGAAGTTTTTTGAAGACAAATCTAAGCCTACTAGGCTTTTGTATTAACAGCTACTTTTTTCTTTTACCAAATTGTGGATATGTTTTTGAAATCTTGGCAAATCAATGTTTATTGACAACCACATGAATTTGATGGGGATGGAAAAATAATATTTTTTAAATGGTTATTTGTATTCAGCTTTAAATGATGAGTATTCAATGAATACTTCACAAAAGTTGCTCAAATGGTTATTTTCAATGATCCATCATAAAATCATGCTAGCTTCATAATTTTCATATATTATCTTGAATTTTTTTTTACTTTTATAAGTACTCATCTAAAATGAAAGAAACATGAGATATGTGTATATACACACACACACATATATATATATATATGTTTTTGCTATTTTTCACTCCATTTATTTGTAAACTATTTTCATAAATTATCAAAATAATCATCCTCCCTTGTAAAAAATGGATAATAATAATTTTTCTATGTTTTTTCAAAGAATAAATTCAAAATTTTGATATGGAAAAGAGAGTTTCTTCAAAATTATATTATATTTTTGGGTTGCATATTAAAATATTGTCTCGCTAAATACAAACAAATTCATAAATAATAAGGTAATTTATCTTGCACCTATTTTCATTAATCATGATATTTTCGGACTTTAAATCCTACGAATAAAAACAAATCTAAACGACTATCTTGGAGACTTATAAAAAAATGAATCCTAATACGATAAAGTTTGTATAATTAGGATAACACAAATTGTGATCCTAAATAGTGAACTCGTTGACTATCTTAATTACAAGTTAGTGACAAAAAAAAAAAAGGGAATGAAATGATCATTTTCATTAAATTGACAAAGTATAAGATGCAAAAAGCACCTTTTACGGGTAAAGTCATGCAATAGAGGAGGTTGTATAACTTAAACATAATTAAAAAAAGTACTTAATTAATATATCTAATAAACATATTATTGTAATAGAAATATATCTAAGAACCATATTTGGGATGATGGATATTAAATCTTTAGGCAAAAAAAGTAATTTTGCAAGTTATGTTTGCCATGCATCAAAATATTCTATCTCTACTGATGATCAATAAATAATTTGTTGTTTCTTTAATTTTTAAAAAATGAAAGATGATCCAAGAAATACGCGAAAATCATATATAAAACACGTAGTATCAGAATATGTTTCTTAATTAGAATCTTCAAAAAATTTTAGTATGAAATGCAGAATTGGAAGGGAAGTACAATCTTTATCCTAAAGTTCTCTTATTTAATATAGGATACTTAATGTTGGTTGTTGATGAGGAATACGTAGAGCTGTTAAGAATTGACTAAGGTAACTAATACAAAAACTAAGATCTCATTGTGTGATGGTGAGGTAGAGAAGTTATCAAATGAGTCGTTTGTAACTTGTTGGACGCACAAGCAATTCTTCATCATCCTAAGCAAACTTCAAATTAGGTTTCATGAGATTGAATAGGTTTCTAGCCCAAATACCCTATTTTATCAAGCAACTACAACGCATATATATATATTTAAAAATAAAATAAAAATCTCTATTGCAGAAAAAGTAACCTCCAAATCTAAGAAATATTTGAGAGATCCTAAGTTTATTATTTTAAAGTGTTCATTAAAGGTAAATTTCAAGACATCACTGATAACTTTCTTGGTTATTAGTAGCGATTATATGTTATCAACATACATTAAAAGAGCAATAAAAGAAGCACCAAGCTGCCTCAGAAATAAGGAATGATTACTAATTGATTGAGAAAAATTAGCTATTGATCATTATGAAGAGTAAAGCTGAGCCTGTCCTGAAGCCAACATGAGTTTAATTTTTCATAATATGTCGAGTTTATGAGTTATCTTATCCAAACCCGATTTTGTAGTACCCGGTCACAAAATTTGGTCTGAGATTAATTTTAAAATTTTAAAAAGATATATAAAAATATAAAATTGAAATTAATAAATTTTTATTTAATATAAAATTATGAAAAAAAATAGGTTGAGAATGAAATTGAAAATAATTTTGAAAACAATGAGTGAAAATTTAGGTTCAGATAGTATTTTTTTTTAAAAAAATCAGAAATTGGGAGTTAAAACGCAATTAAAGAAAATTGCGGTATGTAGGACCGCCCAGTCAGCAATCCCGACGAACTGGAGCGCGCCGCGTGGCAAGACATGTTGACTCGGTACCACGCGGGAGGCCACGATGGTAATCCATATGCCCGTGATTGGATGGTTCGGAAGCGTTCCTAGGCACGTGGACGATCCGGATCCGTTCCTTCCTCATGCGCGATCGAACGGTCGCGATTAAACACAATGAACGATCTAGATTTGTTTTCTCTTTAAATGCAATCTGACAGTCGAGATCAAATCGCGATGAACAGTTTAGATTCATTTTCATTTTAAACGCGATCAAATAGTCGAGATCAAATGCAATAAACGATATAAATTTAAACGAGACGGGTATAAATCTTTCGTATCACACCGAATTCAAACCCTAACTGCTAGCTTTCCATCGAAGAAGAAGAACCAGTCTCCGGAGAAGGGAGTCGACCGTCGTTCCTTGCCTTGTTGGAGCTACCTCTGACTGCAAAAAATGGTTGACCGAAGAAAAGCCCCAGCTGTGAAGGTGAGCAGACAGAGCCGCCGCACCAAAAAATCTCACCATCGGTGAGTTTTTATTTTTTGACTTTTTTCAGCCAACTAAGTCCCCTTAAAGTATTTTCTCGCAGGGATGAGTATAAAGCCGATCGAAATCGACCAAAACTGGCCGAAAATGGTCAGGCCAAGGCAAACTGCCGCTGGAGCACGGCGGTGCCACTGTGCCAGAATTTCAAAATTGGCTGAAAAAGGCTTTTGACACCAATTTTAGATTTTTTGGAGTATTTTTAGGTACCAAAGTGTGTTTTAATCTCTGCAGAAAAATTTAGAAAACCCAAAGATCGCTAGTAGGCGCACTAAAGTTCGATGTTTTGGACACCAATTTGAATAAGAATCCATCACCTTATTCTCTGTTATGGAATTGAAGCTTAACAACCGGTAATATAGTATTTTGTGTAGTTTAAAAAAATTTAAGAATAATTACATGTTACCAATGGAGAGAGAAATCGGTTAATTATTTATTTATTGTCATCTTTAACTGATTGTTAAATTTACAACTTTAAATATATAATGATATATTGAAATATTTAAATGATTCAATTGTGCTTCCTTGATACATATATTATTTGTTTTGCATGATTTATAGTTGATTTGTGAAATTTGTAACTAATATGCAAATAGAAAATTGTTTGATCATGTGAATTATTGAATAATAGTTTTATTGGATATTCTGGGAGATGATGGGCAGACCGGGTACATAGAAAACTCTACCGTGAATGGTGCCTCATACCAAAGGGGGTATCGAGAAATTGTATTTTTGGCGTTCATACCGGACGAGATATAGAGACGGCCCGATTCACCCTCATACTGGACGGGGTATTGAGGGATTGTATTTTTGGTACTCATACCGGACGGAGTATGGGGACGACCAGTTTGTTGACAATGTTGGATATGGATTCACGCGTAGTAGAACATTCCAATGAGCTCCCAAGGATATCAGTAGGCAAATAAAAAAAGAAAGTTATTATTCTTACTCATTTGAATATGAGGTTGGAATTTTATTTAAGTTATTGTCTCTATAGGTCAATTTTAAAAATCTTATAACGGTAAATATATGCAATAAATAATTTTTCTTATGATAAATGAATTTATTTAAATCAAGAGCTACATTGGTTATTTTTATGATTTTTACCAACTTTTAGTTTCTGTATCGGTGAGTAGTGTGATATTTTTATCGGTTTAGTGTACCTCACCCTTTCATTAACTATTTCAGATTAAAAGGACTAAGACCTAGATCCCGATTAACAAGAGGGTTGTGAAGGTCGTCCTAAAATACTCAATTATTGTCTTTTTGTTTATTTATTTAATTTTTGTAATTTTTTTTAGAATGGATATTCTCGTAATCTTATTGGATATTCTAAATTATTGTGTAATGAATATAAATCCTAAATTCTATTATTCTGTTTCCGCATTTAATTCATAACTTTATTTCCTTATAAATTTTGGATCTTTACAGATTCAATTATTTTATTATATTAATACAAATATAATTATATTAATACTACTAAAAATTAAAAATATATTTATTCATACATGTAATTATATATTAACAAAAATATAATTATTTTTGTTGTATTAATATAAATATATTCATACTAATAAAAAGTTAGACTATACTATTCATATATAATATTATATACTGATTATATTTATCAATACAAATATAAATGAATTTACAATAATAAAAAATTTAAAAATATATATACATAATGAATCATGTTTGGATAACTTTTAAAAGGTCAAATTTGAACCCCCCAAATTCGACCCTACTCAACCTGCCTCTCTTTCCTATCATCGAACCCAACCTACAATTTAACAAACAACATCACAATAGATTAAGTTCAAATGGATTAGATTAAGTTTAGATACAAAATAATATTTTAACTATACACGAGACAACAAGTCGGTCTTTTACATCTAAATTAGAAGTTGAAATTAAGAATATTTAAGAAACATTGTTATAGAAATATTTTTTTTTACTATTTCTGTTATTATAATTTATATCATTTTAAATGAAAAATAATTAATTATCCTTATTTAGTTATTAAAATTAATCTTTTGGTTGGTATAATTTGGATAACATTTATACAAGACAAGAGATTTTTCTGTCAAATCTTTATATTCTTGTATAAAAAATTGTACTACTTTAAAGCATTTTGTAAGTTTAATTATTAAAATGTAACATTTTTTGAAATGACCCTGAACTTGAAAGGAGATAAATTATGA